GTACATTCCGCGCAAGCGAAATATCAAATCTTACTATGTGAGCATTGAGTTTGTGAGACGCTTGGAAAATCACCAGTAATCGTTGCACTGAGTAGACCTCATCTTTGAAATAGTGGAACCGAGATGCATCTCTTATAACAAACCGGCGGTCTACAATCTTGCTAATTATGTTGATGAACAAATGATAATCTTTACAAACCCTCAGATTCTTTATCACAAGAATTTCTACGCCCGGACTAGTGTTGAGAATCCCAAATGCAACTGCTAACCTTTCGCTATGCTCATGTCTACTGTTCAAAACCTCTTTGCCTTTATCACTGTCCGTGTTTCCTGCAATCTCCATCACGGAAGTCTCTAACTAATCCAGCATTCTATAGACTTCTTCTGTTTGCTCGTGACTTCTGTCGCCAACCAAAAACAAGTGAACTCTTCCCTTGTGTTCCCCATAACTATATCCAGGCTCTTTCTTGAATGCTCTCTTTCTCATCATTAGGCGGATTCTCCATATTCCCTTCTCATTCTTCACGTCTGAATGTATGATATCAATACATAATAACCAATGTTCATGGGTTCACATTCTATCACCTTTGCAAAAGCTAAATCTGTCATACCCACATTCTTATGGAATTTAAAAGCACCCATAAAACGGCCCAAACAACATCATCTGGTTCAACACGCATTGGTTCTATAAACTCAATGGCTTCATCTAGTCGACCAGCTCTTCCAAGTAGATCAACTACGCAAGATCAGTGTTCAGGGACAGGTTCTAAGTTATACTCTCTCTCTTCATCGCACCAAATAACTCTAAACCTTTATCCGTTAGCCCCGAATGACTGCTGTAGGGGTCGGAATTCTCCCCTATGAGATCGATATAACGACGAGATCAACTCTGCAGCGTCCTGGCGAAATCAGATTAAATATGCAAGGGCCCAGTCTGAATATAGGCCCAAAATTACATTAAACCCATTAACAAAATGGACTTAATAGATTAATGGGCCTAATTTTAATATGTTGCTTAATGGGCCAGGTCCATTTATTAGCTCACCCATTTTACTTAGAAATACTATATATAGTTCATTGTACTCACCCAAAAAAGGGATCGATTCATTTGTAACCAGAGCTTAACAGAAACAGCAATAAAACATATCTTCGACTTTTGCTTTGTGATTCATACTCAGAAGACTCAGTTNTCNTTTCAANCNTTGACAAATTCAACTGTGTAGNATNNGCCGTCCACAGTTTGGCGNNGTCTAAGGGGACTTGAGATCTTCTTACTCGAAGGAATCACTCGGCAAGCAACCTAAGCACGATGACTAACCTGCGCGGCGACACACTTGGCGACAAAGACACAGTAGCAAACCTCGTAAGAGACATCGCCAGGAGCGACAACACTGGTGAACGCGAGTTGAATCACCTTTAACGTTGGTCGTGGTTAATGGTCACGAAAACTTGATGTTTATACCAATGGTCGTTTTAAAGCCTCAACAATTTGGAAATTGTTGTAATGTAATCTTTTTATTACATTCAAACTATAGCAGTAAATGGGAGTATGTCAGGATAAAAAGAGGAGTTAACTCAATTACGGCTAGATAGGATACGTATGAGAGAGCAATTGGGTTTCAAAGGGACCAACTATACTTGCAATCAAAGAAGAGGTGAGATATTTTCACTCTCTTTTATTGAAAAGGTAAGAGAAGTTTTATATGAGATACTTTACCAGTTAAGCTAACGAACTCAATGGCAAAATTTACCTTTTACATTAGTCTGCATATAGGATAGATTGAAGAGCATGATTGATTTCGAAAGGTGAAGTTTGTCATTGAGCTATGTGAAACATAGACATATCAATGTACCAAAGTTTTTTCTTTAAAATTTTATGTTTTTGAAATAGTTTAGGAGCCTGACCAACATAAATCGAGACAGAGGTACATTATCTGTTTTCTTTTTTGCAACGTATGATTGATCACACTTTGGATTAGTCCAATGGACTTTGTTTTCTTCAAAGAAATATCTTTCAACGAACTCATAGTGGATTTATGTTCCTCAGTGAAATACAACATCTAAAGATCTTTATTCTAGGTAAAAAATTAGGTGAAATTATAATTAAACCAAACCATTTTAGAGACTTATCAGCCGAAACCTTAAATTAGAAAACCAAATAAATTATATGTATATACGAAAATAATGTAGTTTAATGTTTTTTCAACAACATGCAAATATGCAGGCATGAATTCGGATGGTAAATACAATTGTAACACAAACCACTATATGATGAGTTAATGTGAAATCAAGTTGGATAGAACCGAAATAAATCAACTAGAACCTTAAAAGTGATAAGACAAAATCGCTAAAGAGATTTATTACATCCTCTTCACGGGTTGATTACACCTAGGGACACTTTATTGAACTTTTATTTCAAGAGGGACACTTTTTGACCAAGAGACACTTTGTTGAGTTTTTGTGTGTATCTTAGACCAAAATACCCTTAATGATCAATTACTACTGACCGTTGGATGTTTCTGTTTGGATTTTTTTTTGAATGTGTGGCTCAGATTGGTTCGGTGAGATATTTATTAGCAGATGTAAACAATATAAATTGCACAGTTTCTCATTATTGTTCATTGAACTGCTCTTTCGTGGATGACGTTACAGTGGAGAGACTTTATCATGAATCGACCATCCACATGCAAAGCCATAAATACATTCAAGGCCAAAAATGCAGCCAAATTCGACTAGATGTTGT